TTTGTGGGGGTTCATGACGATGGATTCGAAGGTGTGTTCAATGCGATTCCATGTCCGCAAGGAAGAAGAAGACTTTGCTGTAAAGCAGGTTGATTTACTCAGTCACTTGGAGATATCTCAAGTGTTTCATTGCGAGGGGTTATTGTTATGCGTTGCCGAGGACAATTCGAGGCTCCTGGTGTGGAACCCTTACCTCGGTCAAACAAGGTCGATCCGTCCCAGATCAAGTTTCTACAGACTAGACACGTATGCTCTCGGATATGACAAGAAGAACCACCGTACCCACAAAATCTTGAGGTTTGTGAATAATTACGACGATGGCGTTTACGGGCTTGAGATTTACGCCATGAGCTCTGATTCATGGAGGGTTCTTGACGTGACTCCCGACTGGACTATAGAGTTTAAACAACGCGGCGCATCCTTGAAGGGAGATGCCTACTTTTTCGCTCGGGAGGAGATAGTTTGTCCTCAAGGCCAAAGTGTAATGATTGAAGATTTCTTACTCTGTTTTGATTTTACAAGGGAGAGATTTGGACTGCCTCTTCCGTTTCACTCTTGCGTTGGAGAAAAAACAGCTGGCGGTGCTATATGAGCAGGGCGAGGATCCGTCTGACCCGTTGGAAATTTGGGTTACGACCATGATTGAGCCCGAGGCTGTGTCCTGGATCAAGTTCTTGAAACTGGACAAGAGACCAGTCACTTGCGTTGGTCATCTTCACTTTAGCTTCGGAGCTGGGAGCTTCTTCAATCAACAAGAGATTAAGTTTTGAAGTCAGAAATAATTTAGAAGTTGATGGTTTTCTTCAGTCTGACACATCATGTGAATGAAAAAAAGTCTTTATCACTCCTTTATTAGTCCTTTGTATTGTTCACTTTATTTCCACCTTTTTTTGGATCTTCTTGCATGTGACCATTATTGGTCGTATCCCTTGACCCATTCCCCTCACACAAACGCATGTGTATCTGTTTGCGTGTTTCACTGTGTATCTGCATATATATATACTCTAGTAGTCCCTTCTCTACTTCTGGCTTACCTGAACCCAAAATGTCGAAAACTCTCAAGTTCCTTCTTTGGTCATCCCTTGCTCTCTTGCTTCTTCAAATAGGTAAGTTCAGAACTTCTATTCATTACAACTAGAATTATGTATGTAGATACATGTGAATGGATGGCATGTACATATAGGTTTTGGAGAGAAATGTGGGAGCAAAAGCAGCGAACCACAGGTGAAGCAGACACAGGTGAAGTGGAGAGAAGGAAGAAAGTACAGAGTTGAGGTAATGAACAAATGTCCAATGTGTCCAATCATCAACCTTCGTCTCAAATGTCAAGGATTTCCTCAGTCCCTTGTGGACCCCACACTCCTCCGTGTTCTCTCCTCTTCCGCCGGAAACTGTGTAGTCAACGACGGCTTGCCGTTGAGTCCAATGCAGACTCTCTCTTTCAACTACTCCAACTCGCACCAATTCGCTCTGCGTCCTCTTTCTTGGTCTTTTCAGTGCGAGTAAATCAATAAAATAGTTAAAAAAACAAAAAAAAAAAAATTCAATAAAATAGTTAAAATCAATAAAAGTA